TGTGTGCGTGTATAGGCCTATCTGTGTATGTGTGTACGTGCATTCGTAAATCCAAAATTCTGATCTTATCCAAAACTATCAACAAAGATTGAAAATGTTTTTTTCCTACATATAAAATATACATACTGTACCTGCATTCACAATTTTATCAATAAAATCTTGATACGGGAAAATTCGATGATAAACTGCAGGTCGAAACCGTAGGGCACAGGGTTCCCCAAAGCTCGTTAACCCAACTAGGTACCACTTCTCATCTTCTCCAAGGCAAACGAGTGGTCCACCACTATCTCCCTAAAGTGTGCACAATAGAATATAATTTATCTCATAAACATATTGCCGAGCTTTTGGATATGTTCACAATAAACACACATTATAAGTTATTTGTGCGCATTTGTTACGTACATGTATGTAAACGAGTTAATATCTCGTACGTACCAGATAACATCTAAGTACGACTTATTATCTCTTACGAAGACGTGGAATAGACCTTTCCGGAGTGTCAATCAAACTTATCAACTGACTAATCAGAACAGCGCTAGGGATACGCGCGCGTCTCACAAACACACGTGTTGTCCCACAAACGCACGTGTTCGCGTATGTTTTAACACTGTCGTCTTGTGGGACCTTAGCAACAATATCCAAGGGGCGGGGCTTAGCGGAAAGGTCCATTTCCATGAAGCGGACAGGCCTGTATTCACCAAACATATGTATATGGCTTGTCATCCCAAAACCAGTGTACTGTCGCTAAATGTTAAACTGAGTAATATAAGAGTGTGGCAGAGAAGCCATAATCCTTTTACTCATAACTTTAGCAATATTAAGTCGATTCAATTATAATGTGTAGAATATATAAATATACTAAAAAGTCAATTTCATAGTAATTGTGGTCACTGATGCTGGTTTTGGCATGGCAATCCCATTATTTAAAATCACTTTAAAAAAAAAAAAAAAAAAAAAAAAAAAAAAAACACAAAAAACACAAAAAAAAACAACCAGCAAACAAAGAAAACACATTACAAAAATGTATAAAAGGAAAACATAAATATAACCCCTTACAATCACGTTTTAAAAATAAACGACAAGGGAGGGGACAGAACCCAAACAGGAAAGGAAAGAGAAAACAAGACAGACAAGGAGAGAAGACAAATACATATAAAAAAAATTGCGTAGTAGGGAATAAAATTATTAATCATATTATTTAAAATATTTAAAATTGAGAAATTGCAAATTTGAATATTTAGGTAAAAATCTGAATACTGCCCTAACTAGAAAATTTCAAAGAGGGGCTCGGCCCAGGTGGGTCCGTTTGGCACGAAAAATTGAGGAGGATGAAATAATTGCAAGGTTCGGGAAGTTGTCTTGAAAGACCTTACGGTATCATTTTAAACGTTGAATGTCAAAATGGTACTTACGAAAAGCAATGTGCTGCTGAAATTACCCATAATTCATTGATTAGGGTACATCCACACATTTTTTTATTATACTCGAAGATGAGACCTTGCCATGGCCAGCTACCAGGCAGAGGTTCCGATCCACCGATTATCCTTTTGGCTGTCTCTTATACACATCTAGATGTGTAATATAGTCATATTAGTCCACGTGTGATAATGAAACAGAAAATAATGATGCGGAAACGTTGAGTTAGACAGTAGAACACTATATAATTTATCTTCTATGGTCAAGAGATGGAAAATTGTTAGCCAGCAGAACACATCGGATGTTGTCAATGGAGTGGCCAGGGGAGTCCATCTCTTGACCATAGAAGACGCTCGGAGCTGAAACTCATTATCAAATTCAATACTCATATTTTAGGCCTTAATCGTGACATGGGTATTCTGAGCGATTACACATTCACACACACTTGACTTTTTTTCATACCACCGTATTCCTGTTTCATTACTTTATGTACACCTTGTTATATTCCATATTACTTGTATTATGCTATATTTAATTTTGGCTTCTGCATCTCTTTTGTATCTAGGCTTACCTAGTTTACTTTGTTTTTGTTTATTTTGTTAATGGTTTATTATTATTATTATTATTATTATTATTATTATTATTATTATTATTATTATGATACTATATTACATTATATCATATACTGTACATAGCCTATATATGTATGGGCATTAGGCTTATATATTATTATTTTTTATCTGCATCATGGGCTATCGCTTCCACTTCTCGATATCAAAGTAATTTTTTTTTCTCTTTTGTGGTGCACCACCACTTTTATTTCATATATGTATATATATATATTTCATCATGATCTTTTTCTAATACGGTATGTTTCGTTTTAATACCTTGCAATAACGGTAATAACGAATTATCATTCCTTAACTTCAGATGTTTTTTTTTTCGGGTTCAACACTTGTTGATCTTTTTTCGTTGTTTTCTTAATTCGTATTCTCTCATGTGGTAATCAACCACCTTTATCAATTATTTAATTGACGAGTTATCACAAAATATTCGCCATTTTTAGTAACGATATAACCGACCGCGCCATTCATGTATCGCACTATTACGGTAGCGGTAAATGACAGTAATGGCGATGAATGTTTGTTGGAAATCACCTCTAGTGTAATTTCATGCACGTCCGTTCAATATAGCGACGCTGGACTTTTTAAAGTTTTGGGAACAAGATCAAGATCAAGAACAGCAGTGAGGCTCTGGGTCAGCGCTTCGTGCGGACCAAAAACTAATAAACAGAAAAAAATGCACGTATTAGTGGCTACTCAAACATGATAACTGACACCATATCAATAATTTTTACCATCAAATAATTGTGAGGATGATCTGAAAAGTAAATTCTATTGGAGGTTTTCTAGATTTCATATAAACTCGATGACACTGATCATTCAAATAGGACTTAAATTCGTATTTATCCCCAGATTTAATTCTACAATCAATTGTCGCTCTGCAATACATGACAGCAATCCATCTTTGATTGGGTTTCAACAATTTTACACTAAGCGAATTATTCGCGCGAATCGAAAGCGTCGGTTCATTATGTGCATTCACGTTTCTATCGGAGTTTTTAGCTTCAGCGGAAAATGTAGTTCGAGCTGTTTCTACTTCCTACGAATCCATAAAATGCGCAACCAATTCCCGAACCAATTGGAGCTCAGCGAACCGACACTTTCGATTTGCGGAAATAAATTCACCTAGTTTAAAACTGCTTGATTTTCCCATTGGTTATTTCCCCGCTTTCCCTTGAGATTTTCATACAACGCAAAGATTGCTGTTTTAAGATATCCTTACAGTTGAGTTCAAATAATATGTTCACTTATTCGTCCCCCATCTCTAGTACTGTGTAGCAAAATCCTGTAGCACCACATCGTTTTTGGGACCCAGTTCACGAGCCTCGTTTTCGAATACCGTGCTCCAAAATCAAGTGACATCACGTTCTTTGTAGTCCCCCATCCCTCTATTTTATATTAAACATTAATTATTTCAAACCCGCACTTGGCCTTTAAGTGACAGGCTTTTCGCTTTTGAGAATTTTAATAAATACATTGAAACAATAATTATTAAGACACCTCGGTGGCTATTTACTATAAACAGAATAGAATGAATAAAAAAGTCAAAACCCAAACGTCATTGAAAATTACTATTTTTGATGATTATTCCAATACAGTCTCACTAACGAAGCGTCTCATATCGTAGACACACCTCACAAAAGATAACAATGTTCAATAATACATAAGTAAAATTTGTTGTTTTCATTTATTTATTTATTGTTTCAAATTTAATGTAACATTGTTCACTTTCTTTTCCCATGCATATAATGGAAAGTGATTGTTTTCATATACGGTACAAGTAAGAAATGCAAAAAAGAAAAGAAAAAAAAAAGAAGCAAACAAAAATACTGGGCTGGGACAGTCTGAAAAGAAAAACAGGACTAGAACAGGACGAGAGAAGACGCAAATCAACTGAAAACTAAGACAGGTGGCAAAGCAAATAGGAAAATTATATAATTAATAACCTTTAAGTATTTTCAAACTGGTTAGAAAAACATTTTTTTAAATTGGCATTTTACTAATGAGAAACTAAGTTATTTAAATGCAGCATTATATTTTGCCCAACAAATTTAAAGATCGTAAATCCAATTAAAACATTAAATTAGGTTTCATTTTTGCTTGCGTACGCCATGATACATGAATGAAAGACATAAACTAATCTTAACTTTGGGTATTATCATAGAAAACTCGATTGTTCTGAACCTTAACGAAAGGGCATAGATAGCGCCCTTTACTGATTTGTATGGAAACATTGTTGTCTCTTATTAACTACAACTGAAAGGTCCACTGATTAATCTCAGATAAGAAAGTATAATACATACTCCAAGTATTGAAATACACGCCATCGTGTTGGGATTCAATATTTCGACATTAATTATGTCATCATCATTCCTGATGATGACATAATTAATGTCGAAATATTGAATCCCAACTACAACTGATTACACAAATTGATACATTTACGTTTGAGTCAACACAATTAAGGTTCTATGCAAAGAACGGATGGACGATATATTGTCATAGGTACAAGATACAAGTCAACTTTATTGTCAAAATAACAAATTATGGTGTACCTTATACTGTAGAATCATTTATACACATACATCTGTTGGTTGTGGTTAGGATATTTTCCTATTTTTTTCAAATGGAAGCTACTTAAGGGATTTTAAATGTGCTGCAGTTAAAAGTCTCTGAGCTAATTCCTTAAAATTAATGTACAAAGTCAAAATAAACTGAAATTCGGTTTCAAACTTTGGTAGCACACAATGTAACAACGAAAAAAAAAAAGAAACATAAACAAATCTAAGAATCTTTTTTCTGACTACGAAATAGGAATAACGGCAAGAGCATGTTCCCATATTGTATAATAAGTAAAATCAAGAAATCTTGAAACGCGGGCATATATAGCGGGATCACTTCGCCCAGCACACGTTCGGACGCCAGTTACCACACCGACAAGATACCATCTTCCATCACGATTTACGACAAATGGACCACCACTATCTCCCTATTTCAAGAAAAAAAAATTGATAGTAGTCATTATGGTAAATCTAGAAATAGTTCTTGCTGAAATGTGTTATATGGATTCACCATAACACGTGACTCAAAATTAGGACACTTGAAGTGGCAGCTATTTTGCATATTTACATAATTTGCTCTCTCCATAGATGGATTTAATTTTGGTTTCAAATTACTCAGATAGGCCTACCTGTTTTTATTCACTGTGATAATAAAATGAAATTCCAGATTTGACATATTGGTTAAATTCCCTGTACATATGCAAATTAGCTATAACAAAAATTTAGTAAAATTATAGGGGTTGTTTTCCTTGTGAAATTTTTTTAGAATTATGCATACTTTTATGTATTTCATTGACACTACTTTCGCAGGCAACGTCGGAAGCTCATGGGTTGAAGAATCTACTGCAGTTCAAGTCAAAAGTGAGAATTGGGTGTTAGAACGTTACAAGACCTGAAAATATAACTATTACATGGGGGAAGCCAAAGCTGCGGCACAGACACGGGACGGGTGAGAGGGAGTCTCATGGTGGACGCCCTAAGCTACCCAGGGGGCCAAGAAGATTAGGTAAGTATATTCGCAGGATGTACATATCTCCATAACTAATGTGTATAGAGTTGTCTGAAGTTTAATACTCGGATACATGTTTCTATAAGTAGAAAATAATTTCCCAAAGTTTTTGTTCATGACCCTTGACCTAGAACGTTGATGTGTAGTTTCGTGTAACTCCTAAATTATTTGTCATATTGGTATCAAACTATCTATAAAGTAAGTTTCTATACATTTATTAGTAAAAAGTAGTTCATCATGAAACCATCTGGTATTTTCATGTAGTAAAATAATATATATATATTTATATATATATTGATTGATTAATAGATCTTTCTGAGCTATACTGCCTCTATTACACTGCCCTCATGAGGAGCTCTAGAAACACTCGGCTGATTGATTAATAGCTGATTGATTAATATATCCTTTTTAGCTCTATTGCCTCTAGTATACTGCCCTCATCAGAGCTTTCAAGTTTACGAGCACTGAATGTTACATAAAACTATCAACATTGAGAACAGAACGTTCTTTATTTTCTTTTATTCTCCTTCGATTTTCCAAGAAATTTTTGTTTACAAAAATGTGATTTAGAAATATATAGTTTTTTTTTTATATTCTAGACGACTTCTTCAATAATAATTATCAGTTTAACGTATTACTTAACGCCCTTTCACACTTTCTATTATATGTTTATTTGTATTTGTGACTAGGGGTTTTCATCTTTATAAGCTTTTGCTTCTGAAATTATCGTTTTATTTTCTTATATGTTATTGTTACTTTAAAGAATTTAAGAGAAAGTAAAAAAGAAATAAAGAACTTCGGGCTTAATAAAATAACATTTTGAGAATGTTTCTTGTTAATTATATTTATTATCCTTGCTTTAAGGGAATTTTTACAGATTCATAAGAAATGGTGTTAGTGCGAAATGGATATATATATGTTAAAACGATTAATCTTGTTTTTGTTATTTCCCATAATTCATGAAGTATATTTACGTACGTGACAAATTCCCTGTCCGCCATTCCTGTCTTTCAAACATATCATATCAGCCGTAACGTTTGCAACGTGAACGCGACGGCGACAATATTCAAGGCTTATGACTACGACACGTACTTCTTGTAGAACATCGGGTGAATCACCTGCAAGAAACCGTATTCCATTTATTGACGATATTAATTAAGTATCAGTAATATTGACTATTGTTTTTACCATGTCGTTTTAGTTAGCAAATTTTGAGCTGAAAACTTTTATACACCAATTTTATTTTTTCGACATTTTTATTTTTTTTTCTAAGAGTTTGTCCGCCGGTTTTTACATATTATGAGTGATCGTGCTACCAAAATTTGCATATCAATTGGAAATATTAACCTGAATTATTTACATGATTCTAACTGCATCCTGTAACTCTGATTGAAGAGCGTTACAGAATAATATGTATATTTTGGCTATGCTCAGTTATGATCAATTGTATACCTAAAATTTGTACGTCGCGCAAATGAAAAATTGGTTTGATGCAGATGTGGACGGACGTTTGAGGCATGACCCATGACCTATGGCTTTGATGGCAGGCCAATCATAATTATGAATGTTAACTTACCATACATTATGACCGAACCCCATCCTGTGGTATAGCCATAAGATCCTGGTTCAAAAGTCATATTAGATGTTGGCAAGCACACCGGCTTAATGGCGTCAGTAAATATCACTGGTTCGCTTAACCTTATGAGGGCGTAATCATCGTTTATATAGCTAAACTTTGGATGTGAAACTATTTTACTAATGTTGCGTCTCACCAATGTTTGAGAGTCGGGATTGACGGCGTATATTGATCCTAACCAGACTTCGATTTGTTCAATGTTTCTTCCTATACTATTAAAAGAATAATAAAAGAGAAAATTGTAGCTACAATAAAGGTTGAATAACAAAATATATAAACATAACTAAACAAAAATACTGGATTTCAAAATTAAGTTGCTGAAGTACGTTGCCGGCTTTTGATGAGACACAGATCTGAAGCAAACACTAATTAATGGTCAATGGAAATAATATAGGAACATAGGATCTGCGCCTATACCTATATGCCCTGATATCGAGAGGTTACAGGTTCTCACCAGAGTCGTCACAAACTTCATACGATTATAACATCATGTTCCTATTTTTGAGCACTGTTATTATTTTTTTTTAATTTATTTGTTTATATTTGGTTTACTGTGCTACACGCAGCAAACCTAATTTAAGGTAATATATATACATAGGCCTACAGCAGATTAGCAGTATTAGCAGCTGTATTATCTGAAGTAACAGCAGCAGCAGCACGTTTTAGTCATATATATATATATGTATATATATATATATATAATAATATTATATATATAATTGTATTGTGGTGGCCTAGGAATAGACAACTAAAAAAGAATGGTCTGTGACACGGTTGGCTTATCACTCATTTTGTGTGGCAGCCACAGACCTTGTGATAATGATCTAGGTGTGCTCATTGTTAAGTTAATTTTACTGATATATGAAAAACATAAGCCTATATAACTTTTTAGCTTACAAACAATGAAATGCAGTAACCACCCATTGGTGGTTGATGAGAGATCCTCCGCACAAATGCTGGCCATTATACTGCAATGAAACTTGCCATGGCCATCGTCCGAGAGACGCATCATTGCCTCCTATGATGCGAGCAGACTCGATCGATATTCCACAATCTATTCGAAATAAGGCAGTTTTGAAATGTTTGTGTTGTAAATAGTGATATAAAGTAGTAAATTTGGATGCTTAAATTGCTGTTTGGTTTTGGTAATTATGTGTTACTTATACCTTGAATTTCGTTTTCAAATACTTGCTCTGCACACACTAGCCGAAGTACAAGGCCTGATTCACAGGTTGTTCTGTAAAGAATTAAAATAAGGTAAGGTACGCAATATAGTAATAGTATTAGCATATGTTATAAAAAAATAAATTTAAAAAAAAACTTCAAATTGGATTCGGGTAGTACTATAGATAAATAATGTGAAGAATTCGGATAAAAAGTAAAAATCAGTAGGCCACTATACCTTTGATGAAGAATACCTTGAACAGCCACATTCCTGTAGTCTGCGTTTGAATATATTTCCTCGTGATCTGTTCGTAATGCTGCATATGAACCAGCTGTGTCGTTGTCGTGTACAAACTCAGATATTAATGGAGATCTTTAAAAAAAAAAAAAGACGATATAGATACGATTATAACATATTTTTATTCGAGCACTGTTATTAATATTTGTCTGTGCCATACACATGTGTTGGCAATCGGATATTTCAACCAAAGCAATCATTACATGCATGTTAGGCGCGCCTCATAGTATCAATCGTTACCTCGATTGATTATAATATCTATATTATTATATTGATTATAATATCCATATTCATAATATCAATCGTTACCTCGATTGATTATGATATTATAAGTTACATAGTGAGGTCTATAGTTACTTTGTCATATTAGGGAGAGCATATTTTTTTTTTGTATAAGTATGAATGGAGAAGGTGTTACTTGAATACACCCGCTACGCCACTGATATAATT